GGTTGGAGGGGGGGGGCTGGAGAGACAAAACAAAACACACTCATCAACATTCAGCTGTGCTGTCAATGAATAATGCACTGAAAATCTGGGAATAGACACTGTTGGGCATGACAAACACTCTGCACCTGCGGGCGAGAATTTTGCCTGATGACAGCAGCGATAATTCAACATATTACAGCTGTATAGAGGGAGAGGAACGTGGAACAAACACTGACAGGTTTAGGGGTTCATCTCCCACTAAAGCCAGGGGTGTGAATCGATGGCTTGTGATTAGGCGTGAACGGTTTTATACGCTGAGATTATCTAAATGCATCTGCTGTGAGAAGTTATGTCACATTGTCAATATTCTGGGGTGTATTAGGACAATACACAATTAAACATTAAAGTTGAGTTTTTTCTTTCTCAATTTGATTTGATTTTACAAACTGTAATTCTGTGAAATCAACATTTGTAATAATGTGAAAGTATTTTTATTGTACCGGCTCCTACAAGTTGAAAAAATAACAGGATTGTGTCGTTAATATTTTCATTACTGAAACATAACACAATGTTATTCTCACAAACATTCATGCTTTCACTGAATATGATACAAAACATAAGACAAAACACTTCAGAATATTTTCAATTGACAAAGCCGTTCAACTGAAACTGAAAAAAAAAAGCAGCAAACTTTAAAGTATGCATTATACTGTATATACACATTTAAAAAACAAAGAACCTCCTGCTTTCAGAGTTCCCACAACCTCTTTTCAACCTCAATTCAAGGACTTTTCAAGGACTTTCCAGGCCCAGTTCCCTCAAATTCAAGGACTCAACGCGCCATGGTTCGAGATACGGATCAAAGTTAATTACTGTTGCAACAACGCTAAGAATTTTTATAATGAGAGCTAGCAGCTTTACAGAAGCTCAGAGATAATCATTAAAGAGAGGCTTGGATGTGTGAACACTTCTCGGTTGTGCTGTGCTGTTACAGACTGTGTGGTCTACTTCTACTTACATGCGGACAGCAGCAGGAAGCCTATTTACTATATATACTATTACTATTTATATATTGCACTTTCATGACCCAGGTGAATTTATGTGTGTTTTCAAAAACTTTCAAAGCCTTGATTTTCTTTTTCTCGTATTTACAAACTTTAAAGGATTTAAGGACACATGGGAACCCTGTGCTTTATCCACATATAGCTTCATCTAAGGGACCTCACCAGGGAGACCACAGCACCACTGATTGGTCAGTTCGCTGCCTTGTATTTCCTCCCCCATGTATGTGGTGTTGGTGGAGTTTGTAGACACAGAGGCGACAGCATGGAGCGTGTTGAAGATGAAGATTTATTTGGCTTTGCTTTTCAGTAAAACTAGACAAATTTATTGTTATTTTGTGAATTAGCACGAATTAGCAAACTCTCTCCTAGCCACAGTTGTTGCTCTATGAATGTATAATGAACGCCTTGTGCATCCATCTAGTGTTGCAGTAAATCTGTCTTAAGAGTGAAGATGCTGATGGAGCCGCTGATTTCATTTCAAGTTGGAAGCTCTTATATTTTGGAGTCTAATGATACGGTTCCACATCCTGGCCCGGAGGTCTAAACATCACCCATCTGTCACACTGGTATAAAAAATTGAAACAAAATGAAAAAGTGGTGCAGCACAAATAATGTTGTAAAGAAATGGGGGAATGTGTCCTTATCAGTGGCACCGAGATCAATATTTATGGTAATGAGCGCTGGATATAATCTGTTCTGCTGTGACAGTTAACATTATGCCACTCTGGGTATTTTACACTCTTATTTTAGACCTGACATTCATAGCGTCTGTCCAAACTGTTTCCGCCATTGTTCCCCTCCTCTAACTTGTTCCCAGCTTGCACCGCTCCGCGTCTCTTGTCAGATGCCTTAAGTGTTACTATGTATGGAGAATCAGCCCAAGTGACATGGTCACCTGTCACATTCAAAGGGAACGGGCATCTCTCTCTTTCTCTCTCTCTCTCTCTCTCTCTCTTTCTTTCTCTGCCCGTGGTGCACCTGTGGCTGTTGCCATGGCGATGGTAACCTGTTGACCCGTGGGGTTTCTGGTGATGGGGTCAAAATCATCTGCACCTGGAGCTGAGGAGCTGTCTGTCAAGTCAACACCTGCCATCAGGCTCTGGATGGACTCAGACCCCAGCAGACCTCCGCAGAAAATTAGTTTAAAGTAGTTCTGAGGGGGGGTTTTTTCTGTTGCTTCCTTCTTGAACGAAGCTGCGGAGATCTGCCCGTGATTGATGACACACACACACTCCCCTTTGAAGAAGCCCCACGTTCTGGTATAAAACATCTCCAAAAAGGCTGAAGTGCAAGGAACAAAAAGATTGAACTGCTGATATTGATCACACAGCGGAGGGGATTATTGACTGGAAGACGAATATTCAGAAAGGCAACCAGCCAATTCTTTAAAATGTTTTTTATATCTAGGAAAAGCCGGTAGTGACACACATTCCCACTTCTAATGAGGTAGTGTTAGATGCTGCAGAGAGATGCCTCTATGTGCACAATTCAGTGGCTCATTGCTATAAATATTGTGATCCTACACTGACGCACTATTGTCTGTCAAACATAGAGTGATGTTTTTCATGAGGTTCAGGGCGGGTGATAATCCTCTGTGGGGTTCGTCACTACGAACGACCTTGAACACACCACTTCAAATACTGCAGTGGTGAGTTAATCTTTAATTGTTGCTCATGTTGTCTCTGTTTCAACACAACCAAGCTTTCAGGTGCTTTACATTGGAGCAATTCTTCAGATACATGAGCATTTGGAAGCAAGAAAAATAAATAAATAAAAAAAGTTTGCATAAAATGTTCTGACCTTTAATTTCTTCCATGCGAGCAAATCCTTTTCTCCTCTCCTTCCTGCCTTTATCTTTCGCCTTCTCACACCGTTTCTGCCGCCTCTCCTCTCTTTCGATCCCTTTTCTATCTGTTTCTCCTTCCTGTCTCCGTCTCCATCCACCCCCCCCCCCACCCCGCACCCCCCCAATCCCCACCACACACACTAAAACCCCGGTGCCCTCTCCATCTCTCTCTCTCTCTCTCTCTCTGTACTGACCTGGCCCAGGGCTGATCTGGTTGTCATAGAGGTGGATGTCATCTCCGCAGGCGATCGGCGAGTCCTGTCCCTCCTCTCGGCCCTCGCTGCCCTCCTCCTGCTCCGCCTCCCGCTGCTCTGGGGACACAACAGCACAGGGTCACCTCCTGGACCTCACTGGCTCCCAGGCAGGGCGGCAAACTAACTTTTGTTATTATTATCCTCAGCTGGCAAGTCCCAAAATTCAACAGGTACTTACTGAACATTCAGAAGAATCACTTATTATCAGATTGTAAAAACTTGATAAGTAGAAACTACAATTACCATGCCTTGCACTCAGATTTCACTCCAGTTTTCCTTTTCATGTCATTTCACAAGAAAGTTTGGCTGCTGAGGCTGTACGAAAGTCTTTACCTTCAGATACGAGCACAACAGGCTTTGTTGTGTGTATTTGCAACTAATTATTTTCATTATCGAATATTCTACCGAGTATTTCCTCAATTTTGTCATTTATGATATTAACTGGAAAAGATATTTAAGTTCATTCTATTTGCAGCAGGTACAATGACTAAAATTTGACTTTTAAGCAAAATCGTTCACAGTTTTTCTTCTGTTGATCAATGAGCAACGGTCCTTTCAAAATAAACTAGTATTAGTATTCGTGACCATGACAGCAGACAATGCTTTAAATATGGATGCTGCTGCAAAGAAGCTACAAATCCTAAAACATGGCTGCCTCATGCACGTCTTCAATCAGCACTTCAGTTTCAAGGTGGACACCAAGATCAGTGTCTCCAGTTCAGTGTCTGACCAAATGTGAAATATGCTCACAATCTCCCCTTCCTGGGTTACAGCGTTGACTAATGGCCGGAAAAGTGTTTTCGCAGAACATTATGATGTCACAGTGAAGTCGACCTTTGACCTTTTTGGATATAAAATGTCATCGCTTCATCACTTTATCCTATTAGACCTTTGTATGAACTCTTGTCACAATTAGCGAATTAATTGTTGAGTTATGGCCAAAGAAAAAGTGTTTTGTGAGATCACAGCGACCATGACCTTTGACCTCTGACCATAAAAATCGAATCGGTTTATCCTTGAGCCCCAGTGGACGTTTGCACCAAATTTGAAGGAATTCTCTCAAGGCGCTCCTGAGATATCGCATTCTCAAGAATGGGACGGATGTAGAGACGGACAGTCCGCGGCTGTCGTCAGCACGGAGGCATGAAGAATGTTTTCTTTTTAAATGTCAAAATTATTAAAGAAAACTGGAGACATTAAGTTGGTCAGTGGTTGTTTTAGACAGAGGACAAGTGTGTCATGAATCAGCAGGTGGATGCAGGTTTTTCTTGGTGTGTTAATGGTCAGGATTTTGAACGGTAGACGGTATCACAGGACCCAGCCTGCAGCCTGTTTGTATGACTCATCCCGTTCTGCCTCCCTGACACAGCAGCCCCTTAAATCCAATCCCACAGTAACTAGTGAGCTCCCAAATATCATCCAGCGATCGGCTTGATGCGACGAGAACAATATCTCATGCTCGTGCTCTTTATCGGCTGACCTTATCCACGAGGAGGCCCGAATTTCAGTTCATTCAGTTTGTCTTGCATCAGGATCATCCCTCAGCACTTGACATTATTTGAACCTCTCTGTGTCGTCACCTTGCCTGCATCCCTCTGTGCCTCAGACTCACCGGCTGGGCTCTGACTTTCAAATCACCTTGGGGAGAGAGCAGCGGCTGCCGAGCGGGAGGAACAAATCCACTATCAAAACCACAAACGCTATCAATTTTTTAGAAAAGTTATGAAATGTTCATTACTTGTTTTTGTGCTGCGATTATTCTATTATTTACTCAGTCATCAATCTTCATCTCGTATGGAATTTTAAATTAAACTCGAAACTCATCATTCAGAATTAGGGCTGACTCTTCTCACAACGTGATTTGAACAATAAATGGGATCAATCCTGCGTCATTTGAATTCAGACGAGCTGCGCGTGAGGCCGAGCGCCGCCTCAGGGACTGATCAGTGGATACAAGCGCGCGACGCAACGTGTAGAAGCAACAAGTGAAAACACTGAATGACTGACATGTTCCTTCAAATCGTGCAGCGTTCTGCAGCAGCCGCATGAGGAAACACCACGGTGTTGCACACAGCAACACACCTCAACATTAAAGATGTTTTCACTTTGATGCTTTGTCTTCTGAGAATTACTCGAAGGTGTGCATCTGCCTTCAGCCAGGGCTGCAACAGACCATAGTTTTCATAGACGGTTTAATCTGCTGAGTACAGAGTCTTCAGATAACAACGATAAAGATCAGCGCCTGTTCTGATATCGATTCATTTCATTTAATATCAGCTTCTCAATTAAGAGGATTTACTGCTTTTCTTTGCATTATTTGACTGTGAACATTTTTAGATGTTGGTTTATTGGTAATTTCACAATATTTATTATTATTATTTAATATTCTAACATTTTATAGATTAACTGAGAAAACATTTGGTAGATTGTCCAAATTGATTGGATTGCTTTCCTAAAAATCAGAAAACACTGGAAACAGAGGACGATTCATTCTCTTCATAAACTTGTTTGCTATAATTTATTTGTGTTGCTCAATAAATCAAATTGTTTCAGCACAAATTTTAACTGGTTTCGAAGCTTTAAAAGAGGACATTATTGGACTTTCATGAGTAATCAAATCCTCTCCAGCCATTAAGATGAAGGTTATGTAAGTACCAAAAAAGGCTCCATGTTTAAAATGATGATAACACCCTCACCTGAACTACACACCACATCCATTAATAAAAATGATTACACATTCATGAAGTGAGACATTAAGCTTCAAGGACAACAGCAGAGTTACTATTTCATGTGGGAAATTCCTTATGTTTAATGAGTGTGGCAAACATTTAGACCAGATCACAAGACGATGATAAATCTGTCAGAATCTGCGTAGCTCTCCGACTCTAAGCTTTTCAGCCTGAATCAGTTCCTAAAATCCACAAATTTACCTAAAAAACAACCTGTAATGTCGCCTCAAAGCACAATATGACAAAATCAAAGAAAACTCAAGCCCAATCCCTCCAACGCCTCCCTGTTCCCATCAAACACATACCGCAAAATTTTACGATAACTTTGTGTGTCTGAAGATTTTTGAAATTCCTATTCTGCACACGTTGCATGTTTTTATCGTGGTTTTTCTTGTTTTCTATTGGAACTAGGAACATAAAGACACAGACGGCTCAGGTCCAGCAGGACCACGTCTACGGTTCCGGACGTACTACAAACATTATTTCCCGCGTCACCTCGCGCCTCGCAGCCGTTGGTCGCCAAGTTGCGTTCGAGGAGCATCCGGCTTCCAGACCAACGTTCGCTAATGAACCTCTAAGATCACAATGGTTGATAATGCTAACTTACCCACAATAATGTAATTGCATTTATACCCTGATAAAAGGTTGCCTAATAAAGACGGTCATGTTCGGCTGTGTGTGTGTGTGTGTGTGTGTGTGTGTGTGTGTGTGTGTGGGGGGGGGTGTCTGTGAGTCTGCTGGGTGAATTGGTGTGTTGCAGGAGGGGAATAATTGGCTGGGAGAGAGACGGGGAGAACCAATGCAAGCATATTCTGTCCTGACTGCTTGTGCTGCACATACTAATTGGGTGCTTCTCCTTGGCTTGAAGGTAATGAAACTGCCGTTATCATAACAGCCGGAGCAAAGTTCATTATTTATATCCAAATGCAGTGGGGTGTGAGAGCTGGGAGAGTTGTCTGTGTCTGTGCTGCAGCTCTAATCTTTAAGTCGCATCTTTCACTATGGATCTACTGTACGACGCAACATTACTGGCAGCATTCAAATAAAGAAAAATTCCTCTACCTCCCTCTTCCATCATGATGAGAGGACTGCAGGTTTTTTTGTTTGTTTTGTTGTTCACACTGCGTCTCCAGCGCGTGGATTATTTATCGTTGTTTGCTTTGTTTTCGCGTCGTGGAAATCCGGCTAATGTTGAAAATTAAGTGTACAGTGCATTTCATAAAGTCCTGGCGGTGACTCAGACTCACCCATTTCTTGAAAGAAGTATCCATTCTTGGACATCCCAGAGGGAGGCGCCTCTGCGGGAGAGAGCAAAACAGAGAAAGACAGTAATCACTGAGGTGAATCTGGGCAACAGTAACAGGCCCTGCAGGGAGCAATTTTCATTTTGAAATGAGATACCCATTATTTGCTATTCTTTTCACACAGTAATTGTTGGTATGAGAGACGGTTATAAATACAAATACGAGACATGATCAGACCTTTGTTAGTCATTTAGCGCTGCTGTTTGAGTGGGGAAAAACCTGCGCTTTAAAATGCAAAGGCCCCTCATGGATGCAGAATTTAATATTATTAATTCAGTCAGTCGCTCATGAAAGTATCTGCCCCCCATTGGCCAGTCGCAGAAACAACAATGATAACTAACCACACCATGAATGCAGCCATACTGATAACAAACAGTGTGTCACGCCTACGACACTTTGTTTTTGTTAAGGTGTACGTCTGGTGATATTTTTTCTTTCCTGTCAATAAATTCCAAAAAACCCCAAAATTTGAATTGATCCTGTTACCAAGTGCTGTCTGTGTATCCAAAGTTATTCCCTCTGAGCCACAGAGCTCCGCTATTGTCCAACAACTATTACAAACACACCGATGAGTCACACAGCTGCACTGGGAGACATGTTCCTTCATTACAACGAACAAACACACAGTGTAGTTTATTCCAAGTCAATCCCACATACACAGTCCTGCTGTCGTAAATACTCACTACCCCACCAAAAGTGTATTAATCCGCAGCTGAAAATAATCCCCCCCAAAAAAATGCACTATTTCCTCCTATTTGAGCAACATTTGCTAAAATCTACAGTGTCCGGCTGTTTTAGGAAACGATGTAATGCTTTTCCTGTGAAAGTGAAATGAAAGTCTGCATTTGTGAGCTGTTTATTTTTCAAGATGGAGGTCTCCAGTAGAAAACTAATGGGCTTGGGACTGAGAGGCACAAACAGGGCAGGGGAGGCCTTGAGAGACACAATCACAGCGTTGGTATCTATTGACAATGAAAAATAGAAATAAAATATTGGCAGCGTCATCCTTCAAATCGCTGACTGATTTGAATTTAGTTTTCCTGAATTTAATTCAGCCTTAAAAACACAGCAGCGATATTCCTCATTAAAATTCCACACATGCCAAGGAAATATTTTTTTTTTGGGGCTGTGGCTGTGTAACATCGGTCGTATGTAATGGTGGTGATAAACCATTACATTTTAAATCCCTCTGATTGAGCGCCAACTTCACATAAACTGCAAACAAGTGCTGCAGGTTTGAACACGGTGTGATGAAAATCCCACGCTGTTAGACGGCGGCAATGAGGCAGGTCGCGGTTTTGGTGCCTGATGCAACATGACGCAGATGAGACATAAATATTACCGTCGGCCGTGGAATGTTAATGATTATTTTCATTATTGACTGATATGTAAATTATCTTCTCGATATATAATTACTGTAAATGCTCATGGGAAGTTCCCACAGCCCAAGGTGACGTCTTCAGTTTGCTCCATTTCCATAGAAACGAATGGTTTCCAGTGCTACTGGAGGAAATGCTGCCAGTCGAGCTTAATATGGCTGTCGTTCGTTGAGGAATGCTAATAATGACAACAGGATATTTTAGCTGTAGATGTTGTGGGTCTGATGGAGAAAGTTAGTCTACAGATGTAGTCTAAACTAAATGTAAACATAGTCTAAACACGGTGAAAATACTTGTGAGAATCTCCCAAGGTGAAGCCGAGGGGAAGTGCTGCTGATGTGCTCGCTCTGCACAGCACATCCTCGTGTTTCAGAGGCTGCCACCAGGGAATCTTTCTTTGTTAAACGATTAATCAAAATTGTTGCTAATCGATCTTTTCAGCAGTAAATAAACTATTGTTGATGTCCAGCTCTACGCTCTACGTCAACCTTGTTTTCCAGTTAACCTAAAAACACAGTGTGTGCACATTCTTCAACCTGTTGCTGTGACTGATTTGAACATTTAAATCACAAGAAGCAGCGAGACCCTCAGAGAGAGAGAGAGAGAGAGAGAGAGAGGCCATACTTCTCTCAGTCTGATTATCTTCTGTTTAACAGTGAACAGAGTCTTCAGACTATGTATGTTTGGAAAGAGAAACCTCTCTTCTAATAGGGCCACAGCTGTCAAAGACACTCAAACACAAACCTGGGCGACCCTGTGGTTCAACCGGCGGGTAAAAAGAGATTCCCTTTAGGCGATGAAAAGTGTTATCAGGGAAATGTTAGGGCTTCATTCCTAGCATGTTCATTAGGCAGAAGAAATGTTAACAGGCAGCGATTATATGCAGTACACACTCTTTTCATCAGCAAAGGTCTTGACTTTGCTAATACATTCAGTGATAATCCATGGTGAGTTTTGCTTCCAGGCAATCGCTTTGCAACGGCAGGGAGCGGCGTTTTTTTTTTTTTTTTTTTTTGTAAATGTTGGAGATCTCATTTTGGAATTAAACTTAATCTGGTGAAGAGCCCCACTACAAACACACAGAGGGAGAATTTAGAGTACGAACGTTTCAGAGTGTTTGTCACACGGCCCTGTGGATGCGTGCAGCATTCAGATGGCACACGGCGACGAGGCGAGATATGGAGCGGCGGCGAGGGGGGGGGTTCTCTGAAGGTTACGGAGACATTGTGGGCTCATGCTGAAGGAAGGGAGGGGTACGGCGGGTAAGGTGTGTGTGTGTGTGTGTGTGTGGGTTGGGGGGGGGGCTGCAACGCTACCAGACTTCAGTGAGGATTTTCTTAAGCATTAAGCCAATATGTTTACATATTCATCATATAACCAAAGATCAACGACATGTCTTGCGGGTATCTCCCTGACTTGACTGCTAAAATCACAGAGGGACAGACTGGGGGAAGAATGGCACAAACACAAGCAGCTACACAACCACTTCCTGTTAAATGTCCTTTAGAAAGAAAAGAGTGTCTTTCTTTAAAATGTCAAATCTGAACTGACTGTCGTCTGAAACTATGTGAAACTTTGATGTAGAAGAGGGACGTCGTGTACACAATCTCTCCTCTTGAAGCAGACAAATAATACAATTTTAATTATACAAAATATCCCTGCACTCGTGGGGCTGGGAACGCAAAGTAAAAAAAACTATTTAAAAGTTAAAGAACCTGGGATTCATTTATCCCCACAACAATTAGCTCGTTTAATCTACACAGGTAATGATGTACTGTAGCTGCTTGGGTCTGCCTCCCTGGCACTTTGACTCTTCCTGGCTTGGGTAATGATATGTTGATTTTTCATTTTTAAATTCTGTCTGCGAACCAAATCTCCCCTGTGGAATACAGACAAATTTTAAAGGAACAGTTTCACATTTGGGGAAATATTTGCATATTTGCTTTCTTGCTGAATGTTAGATGAGAAGATCGATGCCACTCTAATGTCTCTACGGTAAGAATGAAGGTACTGCGGTTAGCTTAGCTTAGCACGAAGACTGGCAAAGGGGGGGAAACAGCTAGCTAGGCTAACTTCAGCACCTCTAAAAGTTTATCTTATTATCTTATTTGTTTAATCTGTTCATAAACCAAACTGTAAAAAGGAGAGTCCTGTGCCTGACTATTTCTTGGCTGGACTTTCAGGAGTTTTGCTTTCACCTCAATCACCGGCCAAGAAATAGTCAGGCACGTAACCTCCCTTGAAATGACGAATGGCTGTTGTACCACTTAAAATATAAAGTGTTAGTGAGTTAGTGGAATTTCCCCCCAGTCTTAGTGCTAAGCTAAGCTAAGCTAAGCTAAGCTGAGTTTCATCGTTGCTGCTATGTTGTTGGATGTATGATAAGAGTTTGTCAAATCACAGAATCCCCCCCGAGAGGAGAAAAACACCTCTTCCCTCTCTTTTTTTTTTTTACAAAACCGGAATTGAGCCGAAATGGAATAAATTGATTTATCAGGCCAATGTAGCGACCTTCAAGGCCGTCAGTCTGCCTCGCTGCTAATGGAGAAAGAGTTTTAAATGTCAAAGACCTTTACTGTGTGAGCGCCTCACAACTAAATGGCTGCACATTCTTAATTCTAGCTGGTAGTTCTTTACTTGCTGCTTGGTGATACTTCACTTCTGTCACACTATGGGAGAAAAACATCCACGTTAAGATCCATTTCCATAAAATGTCTGCTGCTACTATCTGTCAAAACTGGAGGGGGGGGGGGGGGGGCCCACCAGGTGAGCTGATGGTGTGTTTTATGAAAACACGACATTTTAAGTTGTGGATCTTTCTGAGGTGTGACAAAAGTCTGCAGAAGAAATTTTAGCGAAGCAAAACTCCCCAGCGGTGTTTTCCTCTCCACATGCTTTCCTCGAACATCCAAATAAAGAAACACAAATCAGTTCCCTCATTCGAGCTGCCGCGTTAGCACAAACACGTGGGAGCATTTCTCCGACACCCTCGGCTGCCTCCGTTTTACTGGGTGTGTTTGATTGTGATGTCAGTCACATAAACACAATTTTTTCTCTTCACCCTCTCACACAACGCACACAGGTCGATGACATCCCTGCTACGCAGTCTGTTTACCTGCAGCTGCTGCATTAAACATGTCTCTCACAGCAGACGCACTCAGCGAGGCGATGAGCATAATGGATATACAGACATGTATAGCATGTTGCCTTTCAGACGCAGGTTTATTTCACCTCAGCGTCACAAAAACTCTGTTTAGCTATTTTTATATGTGCAGCCGAATAAACTAAATAAACAGAGTCATGCTCTCAGCTCAGCAGCCGGAGGCACAGCCTGAGTTCTTGCATCATAGTCAAGTTTTTTTCTTCTCTCTTGCTTGTTGTCTTTACGCACACATCTCCCTCAGCTGTGAGTTTTTACCTCGGTTATCATTATTGTTGTTATTATGATTATTTCAGACATGCAACCTGTTACACAAAGGTAATGGGAATTTCACACGTCAATTTCATGTCCCAATACGCACCAGAGTCGCTATTTATGACGTACGAGTCACAATGGTAATGACACTCGGTCAGACTTAGTCATATTCCCTTATTAGTTCCCAATATTTGGTGCGA